TCCAGTATTCCTACTTGAATACTGGACAATCACCCTTAGGATATGTTGCCTGCTTTTTAAAATTTTTTTTGACGTCTTATCTGTGATATGCAGGCTTCATAACCTCAGATCCCCTTTCTAAATTCCATTTTATTTAGTTCCGCCCATTGTTTTCTCGTTTAGGGCACACGCATTCTTTTACTCGGGGACCATACGCCGCTTTTCATGGAATGGCACTACTGTGTCATATTGAAGGTTACATGATAATCGCCGTATGAACACATCTGCGGATGTCTGTAAATTCAAAATTTCACCATTTTTTGTGTTTAAATGTTGAATTCTGCTTAAACCCGGTGCTAGGGGGCGTGGACGGTAACTTGCACTTTCCATTACCGTCAATGAACAGGCTCAATCAAACCGAGCCTGCAACATTTTCAATTTTGTCTTGTTGAGCTTTCTTTAGGGATTCTGTTTTTCACAATTTTATAAAAAAAATCTTACAATTGTGAAAAACAGTAATGAATATATCCTATAATACCAAATTTCCTCTTCAAGTTTACTTAGCAAAACATGAACTGTTTGGTAATGTTTTACTTTATTTACTCATTGTGACTATTTTTTTTAAAAAAAGTTTGAAAAATAAACAATTAAATCAATGCTTATATGTTTTAACAATGGTTACAAATATTGAATTTTATCTATTTGTCTTGTTTAAAATTTGCATGTCCCGAGGAGGATAAATTAGAATCAGATCTTTTGACATTAAGTCACATTTAGTAGTATGTTCAATAAAAAACTGTTCGTATTTCAATAAAGATATAAACACAAACAACTGAATTAATTCAAACAGGTTAACAAGTATCATTTAAATTTTAAATTTAATTCTTTTCCTAAATAATTCTTACAAACTTGATAAATTCTACTAAAAAATACCATAATATAATGACATAATGCCCATCAAAGTGTTGATGGTCACGGAACATGAAAAACTGAAAATAAGTTGACATTTTGCCATAATAAATTACTGTGTTCAATATTTTACTTTGAAAAATAATCAATAATTCACGTGACACGAAAATTTCAATAAATATCTTTCGGAATGTATCGGTAACATTCAATTCTTGAAGAAAAAATATAGGTGGAGCAGTCTTTATGATTTAGATAGTTTTTATTGTATCATTAACCATTTTTATTATTAGTTACTGGTCAATCACAATTACAATAGCCAGTCTTTTGAAATACATGTTTTTTACTAATTCAACTCAGCTTGACAGAGAAAAGAATGTGCATAATGTCATTTTAACCATTATTAAATGAACTTTGTGGAAAAAAATCTGGAAAAAAGGTGATTTATCGGAAGCATTAATCACAACAAAAAATCATGAAAATTGCAGAGTCTGTACATGATGGTAATGAAAAAGTGCAACATCCCTCACGCCCCCAGCACCGGTTTAAGTGGGACACAATATTCAACATTTAAAGTACAAGAATCAGTTATTTCAAAAGAAAACTTAAATAATTATTATATGATCCTTAAACAATTTTGCTATTGAAATTCGCATGATTTATCACAACCTCCAAACTAGCGCCCTAGACACTAGTATTTGTTTGTCGTATTTCAGGCATATCAAGGTCTGAATCATAGCTGCAATCTCGCACAGAAGATACGTGCTGTTCTAGAATAAATGCGTTTGTTATAGTTTCTTTTTCCTTTTGGCCTATCTGAAATCTAATGATAAAGAACATTTCTCGGGAAAAAATGATTGTTTTATGTTTAATATGCTATGTGAATATAACTTATCATGTACATGATTAATATCTTATTTGTAAAAAAAATCTTGACAAAGCATACTTGTGCCAATGTCACGATATAATGGGTTTTCAGAGAAATCTGTACTTTAAAATCACAGTGGGGTAGGCATAACGGAAGCACTGTAAGCCTGTTTTATTGTAACTGGGATAAGAAATCACTGTGAAAAACATGTCATAATAGCAAATTGTTCACGTTAGTTCATGATAGAATTGATTAAAAGTAAATGTGTCTTAATTAAAAAAGGAATCTGCTCAAAGTATGTCATCATAATAACAATTTATAATGGATAGAAAATTCCAGAATATATTTTGTCAAATAGTTTTACTGTTAATGCCGCAGAATGCTAGACATTACCGGAATTTCTGCGTGCTAAGTATAAAAATTCATTGTACTTCATTAAAATTATATTATATGTTACGTATGACTTTTTTCGTTTTACAACTTTTTAGAATATCTGTTTGAAAATAGTAATAGAAATATATCTTTGGATTTTCAAAATGTATGTTGACTGAAGTCCGATGGGGTCAAAGATATAAATCAAAATATTTTATTCATTATAAACAACAACATATGTTAAACTTCGTAAAGTCTTTGAAGTGTTTGGCAGTCATATTACTAGGATAATCAGGCAACATGTTTCATTGCAGGTCAAAATTAATATTTCTGTTTTTAGAAATGCGATTGAAATATTGGCTCATTGGAATTAAGTATTTTTGGCCCGAAAGTCTGTTTGAGTGGCGGATATTTTGACTACGAATTGTTACCCATCAAAGTAACCGACTTGAAATGTCGTTGCTGAGCAAGCATTGGTGACTTTCCAAGAGCTTCATTTAGAAGATTATTTTCAGCTTAATTGTCCTTGAATGTGTTACTCTTTGTCAAAATATATTAGTAAAGCTAAGGTGCAACTTGCATACCTTGTGTCAGAATATTTCATGTTAAAATGTGAGTACATTAACTCTGTTTGGAATGTGTCTACGTGTGTATCTTGTGAGTGAATCTTGGCTTTTCACAAACTGTTTGAAATAAAGGAGGAAAAGACAAAACATGCAAATTGAGATATATCATTTTCACCAACTGTATGCAACGAAAGATACAAAAACTGTATACGTCCAGTTTAAACATTTTGACATCAGACATTGGCTTTAAAATATATATAATAGAACATATAAGATTACTCGTAATGTTCTACCACATATTTCCAATGTGGAAAAGACTATTGTTTTTCTTTTATAGAGTTATAAGGAATAGATGCAATAAAAAAGTCCTGGATGAATTTTTGGAATGGCACTTAAAGTGTCAAATTGAAGGTTCCATGATAACCACCGTATGAACATATATGTTTCTGAATCATTTTTTTTAAATTATTTATATTCGTTTTTAAATGTTGAAGTTTGTTTTTGCCCATGCTAGGGGCGTGTATGGTAATGTGCAACATTTCCTATTTTGCTGTTTTGGACGTACTAAGGACTTTATCTCAGTTATTTGATATTTTAGTATTATCGTTTGCATTCATTCTTTAACATTTAAATCTCTTTATACTGTACCAATTATACTACATATACATGAAAGTCTTTGTCAACTTGTTTCTATACATATCTATTGTATAAGCAAATCTATACTTCATTATTGGATAATACTTAGAACAAAAAAAATCTCAAATTGATAATACGTGCACACACGCAGGTTTAGTTCAGAAACTTGAAACGATGTTTTCCCTGTGTGAGTCATTCAAATTATGTTCGGCATGAATAAGAACATTTATAACTTTAATAAAAAAAGAGGGTAAGACAATGTGATTTTTTCAAATCATAAATTCTACAGTATAGAAATATTTTTACCTTTCTTGTATTTGCACAGTACAAATTATCTAAAAGAACATTTCATTACGTTAAATGGACAAACATATTTGTAAAGTAGAAAATATCTCGCATTCCTCGTGTCAATGAGAAAAAACTTAAAATTACTTCCGGGATCATTATGTTTAATTATCGTTATGATATCAGATTACAAAGCAATTGATGTGTTCAGATAAAGACTAAGAAGAAAATGGTACTCATTTAATTTTCAATGACTCAAGAATAACGAAAACTTCATTTGAATAATATAGTATCTACCGGTCTTAATTTCAAATTGATTGTTAAAAAGTCTATCTAGTTCACCAGTTATAGTCATCTAGATAAGGTCAAATAAAAAATGATAATTTATTTTCAAATATATTCAATATTTTTAATTAATGCAATTGCTTACGAGTGCTAGTCGCCATATGACCAAAAATTACTTCTGAGTGCATGCATGCAAGAAACTAATTTGTGCTTTTTTATCAAGTTACAATATCAATTGCAAGGCCTTTGGAATTTACCTGTCAAGCAACTGATGAACGCTTTTGTCTATTGATCATATATATTGGGATATCAGCAAGCCATGGTCGTATAATGTTTGTTATATGAATGGGATGTACTGAATTCATGTATATAATTTACAAGCATATGCAATTTTCTTTTCATGGTAACTGTGAGATATAATAGTTTTGTGAGTCATTTAAAAAAGGTTCAGCAACATGTAAAACGCTTATGTTTAAATAAATCAGCGAGATATGTTGTACATAATGCACAGCGTCAGAATTTATAACTCCCGAAATTTACCAGATGCACGTGTATAATATACAAATGTATCGAGCACAAATATCTGTAATAGGTTGCATACAATTCTTCAATAAATATGTTCTATGAACCTGTTTCTATTCTTCTTTTTTTCACTCTGATTGCAGATAAGCACAAAAACTCGTAAAGTGATAGTAGATATATCTTTTAACATTTATTTTTCAAATAACGTGATACCAAAATGTGATATCAAAACGATATTTATGTCTTATTTAAAAAACGAAACTGAGAAGGAAGTAGCCGAGACATTGTAGACATATTCACGTTGTGAAGTAACTATAATTTGCAAAAACATATATATGCAATAGTAGTTGGTTTTAAATGCCGTTTACTTCAACACTATTAACTGACATTTCATATGAAATATGTGAGGTCGAATAACTTTTCATGTATGTACACAGTGTTTGTTTTCCACAAAAAGTTATTGTAAAATGCATTTCCAACAACAACGGCACAATTGGAAGATTATTTAAATTATTTCATAAATTTATAAAATTCATGAAATAAACAACAAATATAATATATTAAGTCTTCATATATTTCAGATGCAGACGGCAAACTAAATACATTGAAAGTTGATTTCAGTAGACCACAAAATAAAGACCTGAAGATGATATGTCGGTTGGGTAGGTATTTTGAATAGAAATATATGAAAGATATATTTTTCTTTCGATGCTATATAGAAAACTTACATGTATATTTAATATATAAATGGTAACCCTAACACGTCACGTTCAGACATATTGTATGAGTGAACTATTGTTACTAAAACATATTGGTAACGAAAGAATATATGCTTATTTGGATTTTTACTGAAATTATTTAACCGAACAAGACAACATAGATCATACAGCAGCTGTGTAAATACAATATCCCAAAATCTTTTGAATTTTGCTGCAGTGTTTAAAATGGTATCTTTAAAAAAATATTTTATATTTATTGTTCGACTGTTACAGATTCAGTTTATTACGATCCAACATATAGAGCGAAGTCGACGGAAATAGCACGGTCTAAATGTAAATCGGATGGCGCGGAACTTGCTGATGTCACAACAGAAGAAGATGTTAAAGAAATCACAAAAGACATGCTTGTGGATACTCCACACTGGATTAACTCTATATCGTCAAAAGGTAGGATATTGTTGCCATATATTACAATAATAATTTGTTTACAGCTACCTACATTATAAGGCCACGTGGCCGAGTGTTTTAAGTAACTGACTTCAAACCACTTGTCCCTCCTTACCTCTGTTTGTCTGAATCCTGCAAGAGGCTTCGAATGCTTGTACATTAGGAAACAAGGCAGCTAGTTTATGGAATGTCAGTGATTCTACCATGGTGCACGTCCGTGTCTAAACTAATGCAAGGAAGGGTACCTGAAGTCTTCCTCCATCAGAAAAGCTGGAGAGTAGCCATATGGCAATAAAAAGTGCCCGTAAGACTTATCCCAGAGCAAAAATAATGATAATGATTATAAATAATAATAATACAAAACAACAACAACAACAAGAAAAACAGAAAAAAGACAACAATAATCTACTTTAAATGAAACTAATAAGACATGTGTATTGCACAATTTCAGTCATAAGACAACCCTTTTCAATAATTTCGAACAAATAAATTTTCGTCTGTTTTTAAAATGTCGCATTCTTTTGTAAGCAGGATGTACGAACGCTTAAAACAGTTTACTCATTTGTACTTAGCCACTTATTACAATACTAATACAATATTATTACAATTACTTTAAAGGAACTCCACTGAAGACTAAAAGCATAAATATATATATAATTTGAAAGTATTACGCAATAAACTAGGCTTTTAAATAGGGAAAAGAGAAACATAAAAGATGATAAGAATATACTCAGATTTAATTCAAAAATTGATAATTAGTGCGAGTCTTAGTCCAATTTGAGTAAAAAGACGTTTTTGTGTGTTTTTGGGGCGAGGGCACCTATCAAATATATAATCTGAGCGAGCGAATGTCATGAAAAATTGCACGCATATTAATGCATTATTGGAATAGACCTATCTTGAAAATAATCATTCCAGTACACTTCAGTGGAGTTTCTTTAAACAAATAAGTTTGCAAAATTTTGCCTTATGGTACTCAAACAAACGCATATAATACGAGTAGTTCGGCAGTAGTGTGACCATATCAAAGCCTTTGCTTTATATAAGACCTAGATTTATGCTTTCGCAAACATAATTGCATATTATGAATTAAACATTTTACAGGAAGGTCTGGATATTACATTAGTAAGTAGACAAATGGACGCTATATTTCAATTTCAAATTAGCGAAAGCTCAGCCTGCCTATGTCCGGTTTTCAAATTCAATTTTGAAAGTACTATCCCTCTTGCATGATAAATAAAAAAACACATTGCAACTATGATCGCAGACTGATCAACTGAAAGTTGTGTTTTGCAAAGGACATTTTACATAATATACTCAAAATGTTAATGTAAAGCCAAAATATTGTGCAGCTTAAAGCATGACATGAAATCAGCGTTATTCGCCATGGACTGAGCATACTTCGTCATGGAATAAGCTTTCTTCGCTTGCTTTTTTTTATACATAAAACCTTTCTATTCCGCTGCTTTTTCTTATATTGTTCTTATCCAAAAAGCTGGCGATCAGACCTTGTTTTCAGATTAAATCAATTTGAAGATTAAGAGCTTAAATCTAAATAATATTTGATAAAAACATGTTTGTCTGATGACACTGTTAGAATAGGGCGTGAGAGGTAAGGTAACATTGAGATAATGAAAACACCACCAAAGTATGATGCACACTGGTATTTTTAAGAATACCAACAGGGATTTTGGACTCCTTAACGTGACGAAGCTATCCAGCTAGCATACATACCCTAGTCATGTACCCGTTCGTGCCTGAAATAAAACACGGAATGGACCCATCAGTAAAGCTGGAACGTTCATACATGGTGCGACGTCAAAGAAAGAATGCTCTAAAATATTCCATATTTATTCAGCTTTGCTTTATTGGATTGTCGCCTTTTTTACTTTTCTTTGTTATTTTCCTTAATAAAATCATTAGAGAATCATTACTTAGGAATAATATATCTTTATACAAAAACATTATTCCAGATCTGGTTTGTAGGAATATCCCAATAATGTCCAGATGTCTGCAAGTTTTACCTGTGTGGATTAATTTTAACACCAAAGGTTTATTTTATAAAACCTCCCTTTAATCACAGGTTTGACAGATGCTAACATCTTTTGCTTAAATTACCATTTCTTTGTTTCTTAAGATTTTCAACAATATTGGTCAACAAAATATCATTATTAATAAATAACCACATAACTATTTTTCTTGTCATAAAGGTTCAAAAATAAAACAGTGCCTGGTCGCTAAATTAGTTGGAGATGACCTGAAGTACAGTTATGAAGATTGTTCTCAAGAATATCATTTTATTTGTGTCGAAGGTAAGATGTTAAAATGTCCTGATGGTCTGTAAGATAATTTTATATGTCTTTTATTAAAACATTACAAATTGGTAGGGTATTTAACTGACAGGACTGATTCTAAAACAGATTGAACGTGATATAGCTTGAAGAAACACAATATTATTCATCATTTACAATCGAACGAACATTAGAAGAATTATTTATATCCATATACGATATGAAAACATATTGCTGTAGACTGTGGATCCAAGTGTATTTGCTTACGTAATTGAATAGTAATACCAATATCGGTAGTAACGAAAATAAACTGTTTTTCTTATATATTTTTCATTGTATTATTGATGGGACGGTTATGATTTTCAATTCATATTTTCGAAAAGCAATACCATAGCAATATTCATCAGTTTATTAATTCATTTGGCTTTTGTAGGCGATGATATAATGTCGTCATTTTCACCACTTATATCTCTAAAGATGGCACGGTTTGAAGAATTTGAAGAAGAAATAGAGAAGCTATCGCCCACTACAGCAATATTTGATTTGTTTTCTTCAAGTGAAATACCATTAGAAAGCTCTTCAATAAACGTGCCCGTGTCTTTGACATCAACTTTTCCACCTACAATGACACCTGAAATCACTCCAAGTAATCAGATTACTTCAACATCTAGTTCCTCCCCTATTCAATATACAACGTCAAGTACGTCTGTTATTCTCAATGTTCAATCTGAGATGACATATGCAGATGTCACTTCCAGTACACAATCTGATGTCGCTCCTAGTGTTCAACCTCATGTGACACCGGCGGGTGTTACCTCCAGTGTTCAGCCTCAATTGTCACCTACAGATGTAACCTCCTCTGTTCAAGTTGCAGCAATCACTACCGATGTCATTTCCAGTGTTCAAATTATGGACACTTATGATGATATTTCAGAAACTGAAACTGTTGTTACAACTTCTTCAGTTAGTAGATCTAATGTAGATTCACCTTTAGCCACTTATACAATACTAACAACCGCGCCATATACAGATACGACAACAACCATGGATAAAGAATCATCTTCTGAAGCAGATATTTTTTCTTTGACAATGTTGGATAAAGATCCTGTTACTATTACGAGTTCCGTAATTTCTACAGATGTTTCAACTGCCATGGATGTTTTACAACCATCGGAAACCACACAAGATATTGTTCAAATCACAATAGATTCAGTGGATAATTTATCTTCGTCAAGCATAGACGTAACTGATATTCAAACGGCAAGTATCAATGCGAATACTGATGAAACAATGCGCGTAACATTCAGCTCCTCGCAAACAGTTGAAAGTTCTAGTATAGATACACTTTATCGAGAAAATGTTTTTATTGAGCCTCAGAATTCCTCAGTTACAATACAATTTTCCTCAGACATGCTAATCCCGATGAGCACAACAGTGACATCATCAAGTTCGAAATATTCGCCACTTTTAACATTTGTTAATACAACAGGATACTACCGGAGTCCGACAGACACATCTATTAACACTGACACAGAATTATTTGTAATACAGGCAATGCAAACAGTACCATCAAAATTATCTTCTTCAAGCTATTTTGAAACCTTTGACACATATGAACCGGAAAACACTATGCCAACAGACAGACTTGATATGGGAGAAGTTTCTACCACACACACTACATCTGCTAGTGTTTTACAAACCCCAGATATCATCATCGAACCTTCTTCTACTCTAACTGTAATGCTAAGTAAGTCATCATCATATGAAGAAAACAATTTCATTTATGAGTCTATCAGTAGTTCTGAAAACATACATACCACATCCGCTGAGTTTTTGTCATCTACATTTAAACATTTTGGCACAGAAGATTCAAAGACATCTTCACACATGTCAACTAATACCATTTCTCATTTTACATCTTTATCTTCATCTCAAGATGTTATGGCGACACAAAATACTAACTCATATGCAGCGCATGCGACCGGCTCCTCGCTCATGCAGATTACCAGTAAATCAAGTTTAATGCCATATGAATGTACAGAGATTGATTCCACTACGCTTTGCGGTGATATGCTAACTCCTCCAGATGACCCATATACATTAGATGTTCTTGAATCCTCATCAACAATTTTTAACTTTATCACACCATCAATGCCATACTCATTGACAGATGTTCCTCTTTCATCTTCATTGACAGCATCATCACTTTCTACGTATCCCGCTAAACATTTGTCATCTTACAGTTATATAACAACGGAAGATATTACTAATATAGAACCAGAGCCTTCATTGTCATCTGTTAGTCCAAGTAATTATAATTACTATGATTCCGAAAGATATGATAGTTTTGATGAAGACGAAGACAAAACCTTTTCACCAGAAAATGAACCAACTCCAAAATATACTATAGGTACTAGTGATGAAGATGAAACAGACCAAGTTGACGAAAATATACCAGGAGATTTAGATAAAGACGATATGGACGAAGACAATGCAATTGGAAACGCAAGCGCGGACAAAGGAGAAATTGTTGATGAAGAAGAAGGTAATTATCATTCTTATGTTTTTGTTTTGTCCTAATCATACACAAGATTACTTTTAATGATGTATGGATTGTATAATTATGGTAATGTATTACCCACAGCAAATATGCAAAAAAGTGTTTATCAAAGAGAATCGAACTAAATTGTATATATGCACTAACAATTTACATATATCTGAAATTTATATTACTACATGTAGTAAGTTCGAACAAATCTAAAATCTCTAAATAGAAATTGATACTTTACTTATTGAATTGAATGCTCTTCAGCTTTAACACTGTTCTATGTTAACCAATGAAATTTTTTCTCACTCTCATAATTGCAGGTACAGAAATTGGTCTATGGATAGCGTTTGCGATACTTATAACCTTGGTGTTAATTGCACTCATTTTAGCAGCATTCTTATATCGAAAGTAAGTACTTTATATTCCTAACAGATATGTCTGATTAGAAACTTGCGGTTTCGGTTCTTGCTCTTTCATTACCACCTTGTGTATGATTATTGTATAACCAAGACAGTGAAGTTATTATATAACCTAAAGTGTAATTATTACATTGGGGGAGAAAAGTATCTTTCTAGGCATATCAAACTTAATTACAATGTAGAGACAAATGCTGATCAAGCGCAATGTTTTCTTTAAGGTAAAGTGGAAGCATATGAGCCGGCTGGTAATTTAAGTTCAATGTTATAAGGAGTTTATGCACATGTAAGCGCAAACTGAGATCTAAGGCATTTGATTTGTCAGAGAGTAGTACAGAATAAATACTGACTAGTGGAATTCTTGAGATTCGAGACAGAACTTTGACAAAAAGTTAATAACATGATTCCCATACTGGTTAGTTTGAAACTGATTAAGATAAGTGCGATTACTTTTTCAGATTTTTACATAAAATGTGTTTAATCTAAACACTAATTATAATTGATGACTATTTTTGCAGAAGAAAACAGCAAAAATCAAAAGACATAAATACTGCAGCACCACCTGCCGCCGCCGGAGAGACTGTCGAATTAAGAGATTCTCGCTCTCCATCTCGCGAGAATGGGAAACCACGAGAATCTACAACTTACAAGGATCCAGCCTATGATATATAGCATACGGTCTAATAATATTGTCAATATCGATTCGAGGTGTCTTCGAACATTAAAGAAATTGTGCCTTCTGAATTCTATCGACAGGGATTCAAACTACGTTTCTAAAAGGAAGTGATAGTGATAAATTAAACCTTTTACTTTATATTGCCGACACATGAATTAAAGATTTTTTTAGAAAAGTGAAGTAGAAAAGTTAAGATTTACTTCAGAGAAGCATTCCGCCTCTAAGTGTAGCATTCTTAGTGTTGTTTGTGTTTTCTTTATACAGAAAGATAATAAAAAATTACACTGACACATATTCTTAACGAGAGGAATGCTGAAAATGTGTTTCATTATTTGGAACACTACAGGAGTAATTTGCAGCATTTTCTAGTCAGTCAAAGAATTAACTTGAATTAAGCTTCTTGAACTATTTTCTCTCTATAATTGCTTGTTGAAATATGTATACTCATTATTATAGACTCTGCTGCAGTTAATGAAAAGTTGTTTTTTTCTAGAGATAATTTATTCATTTCATACAATTTTATCGGAGCTTAACTAATGTTTCTACAAATAAGAGTCCGTGATCTAGTGCGATTATAGTTTTGGACAAGAAATATTAAGACACATATAAATTTGCTTGTTGTGACACTGAAAAAATGTGCCAAATACTAACTGATTATTCCTACCAAAATGTTATTTATGTCAGTTAAAAGCTAAATGCATCTAACAGAACGTTATTTTTATATGTACAATGCTAATAGCTAAAACAACTTGCATAACATTATCTTTATCAGTTTATAGCTAACAACATATAATAACATCTGGAAAAACATCATCTACATCAGATAGTTTATACAGAATTAACTCTAGTTCGATTGTGGTGGAAGCTATAAGCTTATTGAAACATTCTCGAATCCGTTTCTTGAACCAACCAGTATGAGTGTGAAGTTTCTTGCTCAAGGAAACAATGTATAGCCCAAGACGGGGATAATGGGTCCCAGTCACAGGATGATCTCTGACTGATTCACCGTGCATATTAGTTCTTACAAAAATATATTTTTAACATGATTATAATGCTATTGCTTCCAGTGTTTTTATATCTATATGTCCGCAATTTAGTTATTTATATATGTGAATGTTTACATTTGTCTTCCCTTTTGATGTCAGTCATATAAATTGAACAAAAAGATATATGTATTTTTATATGATTGATCAGTTATCGCTCATTTATTTTCTGTCCATACATGTTATTTATATTATATATAGATATAATATAAACAAAACTGCAGTGAAATCTAATATTAAAAAGTTGTAGGTTTCTAACCTATTTCATTAATAATTATATTTGATCACATATAATTTTATTTATAGCATCTTCTGTAAAAATTTGTTTATAGCCGTTATAGAGCTAGACAATAAAAATAAGTTGAAATTATATTTAAGTATTACATTAAATTCGAAGCTCAACCTCTTATTTATTTGCAGTTTGCAGAAAAGGTGTGTTTGTTTCAGATTGTTCCTTCTATCATTGACCTTCTGTGTCTTGTCTTTGAAAATAATGTCATTAAAGAGATTTAAATGAAAAATAATTATTAAAATGTAAAGTTTTCTTTTATTATTTTGTTTATAACAACCTAGTTGAATGACTCTTCGCAAACAAAAAAGAGAAATTGTATTTAAAACAATCGGAGCAAGTTGTGAACTTGTTGAATGAACAGTTGATCCCGAATGAATCGGGGAGAAGAGAGGGATCTATCATTGATGTTACACAAGATGTGAAATTTAAAATTGTCAAGTATGAATGTCTAGGTTTGTAAAGGTTAATCAGCTAAAATACTTTATGAGAAAAAGTAACCTTATGAAATATAGAAACAAAGATCAACAAGGATGGGCGGCATTCAATGAATGCATCACCAAACAAAAATCTCCAACACAAGACTACCACCTTCTGAACTCCGGTGTTACCATAAATAAACGAGGGGCATATTAATTAGTGGCAAGGGCAGCGCGTTTTTATAATTAAGTCATACCTGTGCATGATCTTTGCAAGAGTACACCTGGAAAATGATTAGTAGAGTCGTTCAAAATATTCATCATGGACCTCTACACATTTTTTTCAGCCACTGAATCCATTTCTGAACTGTTCTGTGTGTATACTGTTTATACATTGGTAGAGAGCGCTTCCGACTTCACTTTTGGTTTCGAACCGGCGACCCCAAAGGCAAGATTTAATGTATGGATTAAACCAAAAGTCACAAGGAGAGAGGTCAGGACTATAAGCGGGATGTAGTAAAACCTCAATTCTCTGCTGCTCTAAATAAGCTGAACCAAGCCTGGCCGATGCGCAGGTGCATTATCATGGAGTAATTTGATCCTGTAGACCCTACCTAATGATCCACAAAGTTTGCAATCAACTCTTTGCTCCTCTCTCACATCACAATGTAAGCCATGTTTACAACCAGTATACAAAACCCCATGTAAATAAATGACCTGCTAAAAATTTATGCAAATTGGCTAGAAAAAATCAATTATCTTTCACGTGCAAATCATTTTTAAATTGAGTTGTTGCCACTAATTAATATATGCCCCTCGTACTCTCTAATGAATGTCAGAAAACGCAAAATATCTTTGAAAAAGAAACTGTCAAAGAGTTCGTTTCAATGAGATTCTCAGATTCAAGTTTTTTAGTGACCACTGAAAAACAAAGGAAATAATTGTAAAATTACAGAGTCTATATACCCTGAAAAAGAAAATTTACCAGGAGTGAAGGTGAAAACAAACGGCCTATGATCGAAAATAAACGATTAAATTTTTGAAAAATGGCTTAAAGTTGGCATAAAATAAAACAATCTTTTAAACAAGTACATGTACTTTACAACAAAGATGTATTAAAGTTTGAATATTTAAATGCTTGACATAAATACAGACTAGCACAGCAAAAACAGTATAATTCTATATTTTAAAAATGTATGTAAATAAAATATCATTTTATATGTATTGATCTGAATATTGTTTAATCAAAAGCGCCTGAAGTATATGAAGTGTTTCATTAAATATTCTAAATTAATTTATCTCTTTTAGGATCAATTATTTTTTGGGCGTTTTTAAAATATTCTCACTTAGAAATTAAGAAGTTTAAGAGATAACACAGACTGAAGGTAACTATTCATTTTTGCAACACACAAATAAGCTAATATATGAAATGCCCATTAATGCGAAAGAACTGTACAACATGTGACCATACAGAAAAAAGAAATTGTTAAGTAACAATCGCATAATCTTTTTAGATTTGTATGTTCAAGGGAGATTAAAAATGCATAGCTTTTGTGTTTTAATGATGCATGAATATACCAAATAACTTCATACAAAAACTCACGGATATTTCTTGACAGAAAACTATTATAATGAAAAACCTTTTCTGTAATGGTGTTGTTATCCCATAAAAAGGCGGTATAGATAAGAATGATCAAGAACAAATAATATGTCAATGATAACAAATGGAGAAAAATACCTCAAGAGCGTCCAAAATCAAAAATGGCCAATGTAAAAAAATTGTTGCAGGTTCCGTTTGATTGAGCCTTTTCATGGACGTTACTGGAAACTACAAGCTAACTCCCCGCCCCCCCGCACCGACTTAAGATTCTCAAACCAAGAACATGTCAATCAAGGGAGATAATATCATAATATGAAGTTGTATAAGAACTTTCAAAAGAAAATCACACAAACAGCGATGAATGATTACTGTATAAAAAATATTTAAAACCAAACACGAGATGAAAATATCAATAACATATAACGAGTATATAACAGTATGATTAGTAACATTCATATTGACGTATGTTATTCTTTTCAAAATTTAGTTCTGCACAATTTATAACTCGGCACGTGTGTGTTTCCGTCTTCCGTTCTTAAGTTAAGTATTGTGCCAATCCTGAAAGAGCTTTTCTTTATTTGTACTAATAAGAACATATAGGAAAGAATATAAAGTAATAATTTAAGAATGAAAATAATTAAATATGTTATGCAGTATCGTCCGGTCCGGTCCATGTTTGTATGTTTGTTTGATGTACATTACAGTAATCATTGTGTTGTTCTACCTAAGCTCAGCAGATAATATGGCAAATATCGACAATAAAAACGTTGGTACACTGGTCGCTCTTGTTCCTAGGAATAAAATGAAAAATTAAAACAATCTGAAGTCAAGTCACATTATTTTGTTTACATTACAGATCATGGAGCAGGGAAAAACAACTAACTGAGTTTCAAATCATCTACAGGATAGAGCTCTAATACAACAAAATTAAACCTGTTCAATGTTACTTATAATTTTAGTTTTTTTACTAACATTATGTTCATGATTCTTTGCAACTAGCACATTTAAGAGAAATGTAAACTAGTATATAGCAATGGTAATCGTGTACGAACATGTAATGTACTTAAATACGATGAATGCTCTGTTTCGTTTTAGAATGACAATATTTCAATAGAAGATAGCCCATACAAACCTTTTGTTCCTGCATGATACATCGTATGATACTGCAGACTTCCAGGAGTTACTGTTAACAGCTGACCATCTTCATTCGTTAGTTCAAGAATACCAAATCGGATCAATGTGTCGATATTTTTAAACTTTTCATCTAGTGTCACATTTCCCTCTATTGCATGCAGTTGGAGAGACACACGGAATGGCTCTGTAAAAGACTTTCAGTTTAAAACAGAAATAGAAATAAAAGGAATAGAAAGATTTGCCTACAAAGCAAAAGAAAAGAAACTTAGGCATACTCGGTTTGTTTGTGTCCACCCGTGGATGGCGAATTTAAACTCCGTTCTGAGGCACAGTTTAGCATTTGGGACAGACTGGTGTCACAGATATATCCATTACAACATGAACAGATTGTGTTACACACCGTTTGTTTTTTTCATATCAGATTACCTATTTTTATAACGATAAAGAGAGCTGAAACTGAGTATAGTGCGGGCATCAATTGTTCAATACTTTCTGACACTAACAGACTTATAACATATATCCCAGATGTTAATTTGCATAAAATAGAACCATATCAGTCAGCAAATAAAATTTGGAAACTATCATTTTTTTACAAAACTTATTACAGATCCAGTTAAGAATCAATTGTTGTTCTTAGTCTCGCCAACACTGTAAAGATCATATGGCGAATATATAGCTTTACTGATAAAAGAAGGCCTTAGGGGTAGTTCGTATATCTTTTCAGGCATGAGCCGGAACCTGAGTAGAATCAACAACTTCAAAAGCAAGCTTCAAGAATCGGCATTGTTATTCAGCATTAGTTTAACACAACGGAAAGTAACACCACTTGTAAATCAGTTAATTATTTGTTTACGTTTGAGTAATATAAAATTAGGCATAAGCGTAATTTTCCGTTGTTTTTATACCTCTTTCAAGCTGTAAGTCTTTAAAGCTATTAGCAGAATAGCCAGTTTGAGAGACCAGACCTTGTCTGACAGAATCTACAAACAACGATTCAGAAGTGACAACATCGCTGTATTGATCTGAGAATGAAAATCTCATCTGAATGTATGGCTGTTTTTGTTGCTTTATAACTTGATATGTTGATGACGAAGAGCTATTTGATTGCGATGACGAAGAGCTATTTGATTGCAGTTCTACAAAAAATATATATTAGAACGAGTCACAAGTTTTGATTTGTACGAATGATATCTAATTCGTAAATTGGTCGGAGTGAAATTTACATGAAAAAAGTGCTCTAAAAATTCGTTAAAACTGGTACGATCATAATGAAATGCTCTCTCAATAAAATGTATCAGCTGTTTTAACAATACTAACGATGTTTGGAATATTTTGAATACACATTTGAACAAAGTTTATTGAATATCTAAAATTCGTGTCACAGTAGATTAGAGATGATCACTATTACCTCTTTGATAAATAGCATACACTTCAATCTCACATAACTGGAGAAATACTGGGTCTTCTTCGTTTGCCATAATTTTCACATATCTTGTTGCAACATATGGATGTATATGAAATGTTACAATGTTTCTTTCGACGCCATCGGTGAATCCAATGTTAGTCCATTCGGGTGTCATTACAAATAGTTGAATGTCGTACTCTTCGCCAACTAAAAGTGTTTATTTTCCAAATTTTTGAAGATTTGATATTACAACTTGTTTCACAACAATTCATTAAGTACATGTACTGTGTTTTCAATTGAGTATTATTATGCTGTTTTTTTATTCATAAAAAAGACAGTTTCAATATGTCCTTGGAATTTTGATTGTATTCATTGTGAAAAACAATCACACATTGATGGTGTTTTTTCTATCAGAGAAATCCGGATACGAAAAGAGATTAATTGATTTAGAAAATATCTCGAGTCCTCTTTTTCTTTTCTTTTAAATGAATATATATGTAACTGATTACTTACGACAACAATCAGATCTTTTATAAACCTTTACATCTATAAGATTGTATTCATCAGCGAGATCTATAGTAAAGTATGGCTTCCTTTCATTGTGGGTGGTTACGCACGTGGCTCCATCTAGAACATTCTGGTTGTTGTTTCCGTCCACTGCATTGTTAGGAAACCAATGTTTATGGTGGAGACTTGATGCAGCAACTTTTTTCCCAACAGCCACGTTAGACGTTCCTTTAAATTTTGTTATATAAGAAAAACTATTTAATCTTAGTTATGAAATATCTTAATTAAATGTTAAATTTATTGTTTCTGATTCCAATATGCAGCCATCAATTTATTCCTTATCATTAAGGTAGAGAAAGGAAAGAATGTTCCAATATATCTAGATCTGTTTATTAATCTATCGGTATTGGTACTTAAATACTTACTATATTCACAGTTGATTCCACCATACCCGTCTTCACATACACATCTGTAATTTCTGCAATTCTCATCGTTACAGTGAATCAGGTAACACATTTCAGCATTTTGACATGGGTTAGGATTGCATTCAGCTACAAAAATATAACTTCCTTATACATGTAAATGTTATTTACATAAACATACTACTTATAGTCTACGGCTTTGTAATTTATCTTCTTTTTTAATTCGCCTGTAAGGTAAAAAATGTTTAGGAGGTTAGTTTCTTTGCAAGTTTATTTGATAATGTCATTTTAATGTATTATCTACATAAATACCCAATATTTTTGAACTGTAACACTTTTTAGAGTTGTATCAATTACTTTTGAAGAACCTATTATCATGCATTTTGTTTTATTGGGTGCAATGACATATTATTAGGATTATACCAAACCAATCATTTATATATTTAAGTTAAATCTTTTTGTAAATTATCTTGTATTTCTAGTAAACGGTCATCAGATTGGCATACAAGTCTTTAGTAAGACCATTACAGAGTATCATATACATATAGCATATACATATACATTATATCATTGATATAAATCAAAAATAGTTGGGGCCTAAGGATCGAACCTTGAGGAACTTCTGATTTTACCTCTAAAATGTCAGATTTTAAATAACCTACTTGTACTGTTTGTATTCTGTTTGATTAATATGAACAAAAAGAGCTTTTTCAGAAAAATGATATAATTTCAATTTGTGCATCAAAATTTAATTATTTCTTTAACACTGATATTCGGTATGACTTTCATCAAGAAACAAAGAAATAAAGAATCGAAATAGTCCACGAAACTCTTTTATAGAAACGTATCCGAAATGAATCAGTAGCATTGTTACAGTTCCTAGCAATATATGAAAAGCAATGAATAGGACGTGATAACGAAATAACGGAATACAATAATTGACATCGTAAGTGAAACGTGAAAAGTTTATGTGGAACAAAGGTAAGTGGTTTGATGAAATAGAATGATTTGTTTGTTCAGATTATCTTTCATTTGAAAGGGGAAAATAAAGATAACTTTGACTGCTGAAATGCAGAATTTGAGATACGTTTCATTCGCATGGTAAGAAATCAATTAAGTTTACCTATTTTTCCGAGCACCTCAACTTCGCATAGGTGGAAAAACCCCATTTCTCGTGTTCGAACAAGTTGAATAAATCTAGCGTTTGTATTCAGCGGAAGTATTATATCTTGAATGTCCTTTATCTGACCTTCAACAAAACTTATATTTGACATTGTATCTAGTGTCGTTCCAAGTTGTAATAAAACGTCATGGGCAAGATCGCCTTTAAAAACAATAAGTATTGTAAGCATTATTGTTTTGAAATGAATCCTTTAATTATGAGATGCTGACATTTTCTTTATAATAAACCATATATTTCAGACAATGTAATGTCATAATTGAAGGACATCATCATATTTCTGTTGGTCGTCTATAAACTTAGAAGGGAGTTATAAGAAAAGGATATCTGCATACTTACTGCAGCAATCCAGGCGATTAAATAATCTAATAGCAAATATCACATAAATGCCAGTCAGGTCAACTCGCCACCAAGGATTATCTTCTTCCAGAGTGTGGAAACATGTTTTATATCGTAAGCTTTGGCCACGGTCACCGTCAACACCAAACTTAGACTCATAGACACTCAGGACTGACGACATTTCAGTCGGCTTTTCAAAAGCTACATTGACCGCATCATCTAAATAGTAACATAAATATCTACATGTATATTGATATTATTTATATTTCTAGTTATAGCTACATATGAAAAAGTAAAAGCTATTCTAACTTTGCATTTCATTGGATTATTACAATACAAAAATGTAAAGCAAAAGAAAGTCGTGATCACTGAGCTCGTGTTTTGCATAATTTGCCATTGTATAAGTTATTTTGTCATTTCAAGGTCAAATAACTTGCTCTAGATAGATAATAGCTCAAGATAACGCTCCGCTTTAAGACCGTGACCAAATACAAACATTTTCTGGTGATCTTTCAATTTTGAAAGCGATTTGGTTTCTAAATCTAACCCTGGGAAAATCAATATTGAATAGGTAATTTTCACGATTTCGAGAAAAACATGGCGTTGTCCATATAGCCAACAGGTAAACTGGCAAAACAATCTTGCCCATTAAAAATAAACTTTATTATTTTAAGTTAATTTGTTATAAAAAAAACAAACATTTTTTTCTAACAAACATCAACAACTTGTTAAACTTCCACCACGGATAACGGTATTTAAATATTTTATCCAAAAAAACCGGTTTTGTTGCATGGCTCAAAATATCTTTGTCGGGAAATCCGAATGATATAGGAGGCGAAACATATACGGTCGTCATCAGAGCTACACAAAAGAAATAAGTAGATCTAACATTAGTCAGATTGTAATTATATATAATAATACATTTTTGTGCTATATTAAAATGTTTTTAATTTCTTCCTAGATCACAATACAACATTTCATGGAATTTTTAACAAACATGTAAGTTGCATTTTTTTCAGTTTAATCAAAGACACTGATCTTTTTTAAGAAAAAATTGCATCTGTTTAGGTGAATTTGTTCTTACAAATTAACAATTTCTATCAAGTCTTGAAATTTTGTACAATGACAAGAGTCAGCTGGAAAATATTGAATTAACTAACTGTTAATTGACTGCCTCTGAAATAACCACGTAATTTAATTCAGACACAACACAAGATATACTTATACTATACTATGATATATTGCGTGGTGAAATAACCGGCAGCATCTAATTAAGTCTGTCAATTTGTTCATATTTGAAATAGCTATTTCACAAATTACGAGCATACCAAATGTTTAGGTCGTGGTTATGAATACGATGATGGCGTTCCGACATCATTGAAGGGACTCCACTGAGGTTCTTTGACATGACATGAATGGAATTACATTTTCTAGATTTTGATAACATCTTGTCATGTAGGTCTATACCAATACAAATGTGTGCTCTTTAGATTATTGGCTCTCTCCGATTTTTAAGAATAATAATGTTTATTTTGCAAAAAAGCGCTTCAAATGAAAAGCGTTTAAATGCTTATAACTGACATCGAGCTTAGAATCGCACTTTATATTGGCTTTCAATTTAGTTTCTTAATTATCTTCGCCATACTTTTCCGATTTAAGTGCCACACTGACCTACGTAAGATTTTTGAATTTAATGTTTTAGGTTTTGGGGCCGTAGTACTTCTTTATCAAAAGATTGATTACTTTATTTATAAGTTAAACATTGAATCATACTTGATGCCAAACTCTCAAAAGTTTTCAAGAGTTTCTATATCCTGATTTATATATTCTGGCGTAACTACGTCCAATAAATGCATCATACGACACTAGATGATGATTTTCTCATTAAATCTCTTTATTGGGCAAATATTGAGAGAATATATTTTAAAATTTGTACTTTTGGTGCCGTCGATTGACCTTTCCTGGTCTATTTGAATACACCTCTTCGTAGCATTCAAAGTTAAGTATTTATTTCCATGCTTGACCATTAATTTTATACTTCAACCTTTCTTTTCTTTTTCAATGTATCAATATTTGTTTGTCACCCTTAAGTATGTGCCACATTTTCATTTGGTGCCCCCATGTGTAATACGCCAGAATTAATTGTTGTGTCTGTGTAAAGTGAACGATGGGCTCCCTTAGTTATCACATGTTCTCATATTTAAGAAACAAGGGGGATATTGTCCCCAAAGCGCTCAGCTGAAGACATACTGTTATTTTTGTAAGGGCCAATTTGACCATAAAGGCAAACTTTGACAACTATCGTAGAGGAGCTATAGATGAAATCATATACCAAATGTCTAAGCTCTAAGTTTTAACTATCACGGGGCGGGGCAAATTTTGACCGAAGGGTAACTTTTTGAACAATCTTGGTAGATGTCCATGACACAATGTATCATGCCATATATCTTACATATATATCTTTTCAATTCAGAGGAGAAGTTTTAATTTAAAGTTGTTGCTATATATACATATAAGGGAAACCTTTGACCCTCTGGGCGGTGCCAATTTTGACACTAGGGGCAAAATTTGAACAACCTAGAGGGCCTATAGATAATAGAATATATCATATATCAAAGGTCTCGGTCTTGAACTGTCAGAAATGAAGATTTCTTTTTAATTTGCACTTTGAAAGCCTTTTCTGGCCACATGACTACTTATGCGACAAACAGGAATTGTTTGAGGGGGCCACTAAAGGATCATTATAGTAAATTTTGGTTACTTTGTAGTCATTGGTTTCAGAAGAGATGTTGTTTAATGTTATTGTTGACCACGCACGGCGATGGACGACGGACTTAGGGGAATCAAATAGCTCAGCATGTTGTGGTCCGGGGAGCTAAAAAAAGGAGAAAGACCTTGTTTGATCAGTTTTGACTTCTGAACATTGCAAAGATGTTTTCATTTTAGACAAAGACTTGCATTTTCAATCTTTTATATTGGGCCCTGATAGAAATATAGAAATGTCCCCATGCAGCAGCTGGTGATTGAATTGACAACAATAGATGGAATTGAATTAAAAATTGTACCCTACCCTGGCATTGTTAACTTTTTCTTGAGGGTCACAAATAATTGCTAGATTCAAGATATGCACTTTAGATGCAGTCACACGGAATCAGAACAGAAACTGAGGGAAAATAAGAAAGATACAGCGGAGGAGGGACGGGCATCGTAAATTGTAAATGTAGACCTTGCTGTCCATAAAACATCAGACACCTCAGGTATTGATCTTAATCTTTTCAGCTCTTGATCAAAGCTAGTGAGCCTGATCAAACTGTTATGGCAGTGTTCTTGGTTACATGTATTCGGCAATCCTAGTAAGATTTTTTTTGCTGTTACTTGTCAACGAATTCCAAACATCGTTGACAAGCTGAAACAAGAGCAGGATAAAGGATTAGATATTATAAATAGCAAGTCACAGGTGCCAGTATCAATAAAATATCTTACTTTTATTGTTTCTATCATTTAAGAACGATAAATGTCAATATAAAATGTCACAAAAAATAACAAAATTTTCTGGTAGAATTATAACTAAATAATAAAATATGGAAAATGTCATTGACTTTTGTAAACATACGCAAAAATCAACGTAAGAGTTGCTATAAGTACATAACTCAGGTGCAGTCCAAATATACATCTACCTATGAAAGATAATATGTGGAAAGAAATATTTTAATAGGAAAGAAAATTGTTAATGGTTTATTCTACCGATTGTTTATTGTGTCACTTTGATGCTCGTGTACAGAAAATCATAAAAATGAGATTTAAATTTTCATTGGCTGGCAAGAACACCGCTTCGAAAATTCAAGATAGTGTTTTACACACAAAACTAAACAAAAATAATGAAACAATGCTTATTTAGAGTTGTTTGTTTAGTTAATGTATTGTATCCCCCCCCCCAATAATATAGTATTTATTGAATAATTGAAGGGACTTAATAAGCCAAAAATATCAAATCAATGCAAAGAAAAAGTGCACTTTTGTAAATAGTCATTACACCTCAGTGAACGACAGTGAATTTACCTAAATGAAGTTTACCTTTGTACTATTATGGTAAAAGTATATTTGTTTTTGATACCAGCACCTGTGTAGAAAGTTTGCCAATACATTTTAAAGAGACAAACATACCATTAGATTTAGCAAAATTACCTTGTATTCCATAAACTTCTACTTCACAAAGAGGATAGTAGTCTGTTGTACCATCTTGATGGATCTCAACATATCTTGTTTTAGGGTTAGTATACGTTACAAATTCCCGAATTTTTTGAGAATTGTCAGGTGTTTCGATATAAACAGCAGTCTCCACACTGTTTTTACTGATTCCTAGCTTTAGATTTAGGTCACCTGTTTTAACTGTGAGACAGAAATGTCTTAAGTAAAAATAATTTACATGAGTTTATAACAGTTACAGTGACAATAATATGGTTGGGAAATGAAAAGTTACTGTATTCCATTGAACGTAATATTTCGTCACATAATTATGTAAAATGAATTACTTTCCTTGATTAAAGAACATTAACTAAATGCAACTCTTGAACTGATAAAACAATACATGAAACATGTTATTTTTTATTGAAAGTGCATTCAATGTTCCACTTAAAAGTAAATGTATAATGTTTGGTGTTTTCCTTTATTACTTGAAATATGGTAATATATGAAGTAAACCGTCGTTCTTCCGTTTTCTAATAGCGAGTCGTTTAAAATCAAATTATGTATGCTCATTTTTTCAATTGTCATGTTTAGGCTCTGAGGGATATTAGAAACGAATGATGATTCAATATCAGCAATATTTATGCTTACGATTCTGTTTCGTAGAACTCTTACAAACTATTATCAAAGATATGTTTTTAAAACATAAATATGCTTCCGACTTCTGTACTTATACTTATGTTTATTACCACTTTTATCAATTTAAAATTAGCGTTGCCCTAGAAGGAATTTTGGTAGGCAGAACTTATTTCCATTTATGATTATTATCGGCTTTCCAATGGGGTCTTAAATATATTTTTCTAAACAAATTGTTTCCTCACTATTCATAATCTTATTGAAAATAAACCCTGTCTATATGAATTATTTAACTTACAATCATGGCCAAATGTTCCATTACCATTCACTTTGTAAAGTAACTGTGCTTAGCCTTTGCTACCAACAAAAATAATTTACAACGAATGTAAATGGTCACAAACGCATCAATAAGAATACCGCCGATTATATATACTAATGGCCTCGTCACACTTAACGATATACTATCCTAGGATAAAATATTTCAATCACAGAAATTTATATACTTCTGAATATATCTAATTTGAAAAAAGTATGAATAAACTGTATGGAAAGCAGCGTTTTCAATTTCAGATCAAGTAAAGTGGGGTTTCTTTTGCCAGCTTTTTAATGACAATATTTTTTTTATTAGGGTCACCTATATAGTGTGTGGGGTTTAAAACTAACATATCTACTTTGTGTGTAGTCAAAACATGTTTATTTTACAATTACAAAGAGACTGTCTGTATTGCAATCATCAATATTTTCTAATATCAAATTTGAGCATAGTACGGTATATCTTTAAGCGAAAATAACTAACGTCGTGTTGCGCATTCTGGAGAGAAATCGTTACAATCAGTATAAAATTGTCCATCATTTAAATGCAGCCTTACAAAATGGGGAATGTTGTTAGTTCTGGCGAATCTTGACCGAACATTTTAATACGGGGATGAGAAAGAAAAGACTGTATTTGTTATATTGGCTTTAGCTTGTACAAGTTTTTGTGAAACTAAGCTCATATGGCATTATTTAAAAATCTTGAAAAAGGATGATCCCTCGGAAACATTAATCACAACAAAATTACATGAAAATTACAGACGCGGTTTCATTGAGTCTGTATATGAGTGATAATGAAAACTGCAACATTTCTCAAGCCCCCTAGCCCAGGCGTCTTCGTCTTATTATTTATTATCTTTTAAATTAAACATTATTAAGCGTTATATGTTACACACGTATATACAGATCCATATCTTTTTATTATATCACGAATATGAATGTAAAACAATGTAGGACTTTAGCTAAGAAATAGTAAAAAATGCGTTTTTCTTTGCGAATAAATTAAATTCCTACCTTATTTTACATTCATATTCGTAATATAATAATTAGATCTGGATGTTATATGCTTAATATCTTATATATGTCTTATTTAAAAGGTAATAAATATTCAAAGTGCAAACCTAACATTTTCTGAAAATGTGTTTCTACGCGGCTATACATCCATACCTGTTTCACATACGTCTATGTCGCAATATTCCCACAACACTTTAGGATCGGTGGTGAAACACCATGGCTTCTTGTTTCTGTAGATAATATCGAAAAATTCATTTTTGGATTCTTCATTACGTAATTTATAATGGTAATAGAAATAATCTGAAAGTACCCGACAGTAGTTTTCACCAACATTAGCTCCGTAATGGTATGGATGAAGAAAACTAACGTTCGATAGTGGATGTTGTGTGTCCCACGGTAGACAGGGTATGCCGCTAAGTGTTGTATTTGTTTTACCTCTGTATGCTTCCGGATTTGTGTAACAGTCTTTTTCGTCAACGACTTAAATAGAAAGATTATTTATAAGACGTTTCATGTGGAAATATCACTATAGCATTCATTTAATGTTTCTAGAAGATGAATGGTGAAAATTGTATGTCTGTGTTCCTTTTATTTTCAATATAAAACATTTTGTCTATTATATACACCGTGTGAAATTTCTAATTTGTTACCTTTAACTGTTTTTCTTGGCAATTAATAGAGTAGATAAAGAAAAAATAAAGATCGCCGAAGACAATTTATTTTGCTAAATTTACTGCATGTTTTCAGATTCACAAAGCCGATTCTCGATTGAGATCTGTTATATGACTTATAACTTAACGTCTTGACATAACAGACGAAACAAAAATAGTATGTGGTCGTTCTAAGTGTATCTTTAACTTTTATAATGAATTTGACTAGTTTATTACACTTAGCATTTTTGATGCGATCATGTCCTAGCAAATCGTTCTCTAGTAATAAAAAATCCAAGTTATGATACCCTATAGCTTTATTACTACATACGTTGCATGCTTTATAGTTAGTGGCGAGTTGACAAGAAATGTTTTGTTTGGTTCATCTTGATTCTTTCTTAATCTGTTGGCTCCTTATTATCAACCACTATAAGAAAAATTCTCTTCTATAATTGAGGAAATTAAAAATACTTGATATTACCTATGTCACAGCAATCCTTCGCATAGTACACCCGGACATTAAATATAGTGTAGACATCTCCGAGATCCACTTGCCACCAGGACTCTCCTTTCTTCTCAATATTGATACAAGATCCGTTTGCCACATACTGATCTGTGTTGCCGTCAACAACTATACTCGATTGGTATATTGATAACGTTGACTGCAGTGTCTGTTTTCCAAGAGCGACATTTCCAACGGCATCTAGAGTAATATTAAAAACTCAAGCCAAAGAAAATAATTGAGCCGCATCATGACAAAAAGCAACATAATGTGTTTGCGACCAGCATGGATCAAGACCAGCCTGCGCATCCGCGCAGTCTGATCAAGATCCACGCTGTTTGCTATCAGTTTTTCTACTTGTAATAGGGTTTGTAAGCGAACAGCATGGATCCTGATCAGACTGCGCGGATGCGCAGGCTGGTCTGGATTCATGCTGGTCGCAAACACACTACGTTGGTTTTGTCGTGACGCGGCTCATATTATTTGCACTGTTTATTCATGAAATATGAAATATCGAGGCTAGAGGTGGACAGACGGCTAAATCTTTTGAATAAATTTTAGATAAAGACAAGTAATGAAATGAGTTTAACTTTTATACTAAATACTCTCACTAGTAAAAATCGATATCTTTCGTAAATAATTCATGAACACTTTGTAAAACAGACGAGAAACAATATACATGAGCAAGACATTGCTACATGTATTTATATATTCTGTATTACTAGGTTTAAAGCATAAATAATAAATATACGAAACTTCATTTAATAAAAACCTTGTACTTCCCTTAGGTCGTCTCCCGCCCCCTCCCCACCCAGCAGTGCCTTATATAATTTAAAAGAACAAAGTTTGTCGTGTAAAAATCATAAGGAGGATCTCGTGGCAATTAATGTTTGTATTGTAATTATTTAAGGACTGAGATGGTACCAAAATGTCAATCTCAAGCTAGTCATATAATTTCCTTAAACAGTGGTCTTTTTGTCACTTTTATTCGTATATATACTATAAAGTATTACGGTATATTTAAACATTTTACCTTTATCGGCAGCAACAACAGGTTCACTGGTTGTATCTTCAACTGGAAAGTTAATTTTTGTTACACAATATACGCTTTTTATCGTATATATAGTTCATTTATAGAAATAGCGATTGTTTCAACTATGTACACATGTGTATACCTTTGTTTTGCATGTATCTTATTCATTTATATTGAAATTCGTGTTTTTATTTCACTATTCTGCGAGTTATTATTAAATAAATAAATATTTGATATTTATTATTTCATCATATTATTATAGCATATAATGTAATCAATAAATACAGAATTGAAATTCCTTATTGTTTTCAAACAATGTGTAATAAAACACTTACATGTGACTACTGAGCCGATAGCATCTAAATTCAACACTGTGAATAAAAATATGGTAAAACTCAATAGTCTTTACACCGATTTGTATATGTCAGTTTCTATCTAAATTATAATTCATGAATGGAGTAACAATATTAAAATATTATAAAATTATCTTACCATACATGTATTAAAAAATTAAACCAATTACCTGACGGCAAATAAAGTGTTATGATCAAAACTCCTTTCCAAAAAATAATATTCATTTTTATTTTTCTTTCAACATCCTCCCATGGCTTAGAAAAAACAATTGACAAGGTATTACATTTTAAAGGTTCTGCCAACTTGGCATTTGTCAATTATTAAACGCATATAATGGACTATGTTAACTGATGTGGGTTCCTCAGATATCAAATAACAAAGATAAGGTGTCTCTCTCCTGTTCTTTTGAACAACATGTATCTAAATTTCACTCGGAACTTATGTTATATATATTTATTGTTTTGTATTTCCATGATTTTTATAGTAACATGGCACAGTGGTTTAATAAACTGATAATGTATATAATCTGTTAAAAAAGTCAAAGCGTTTGGATAAATTGTAATAATTGATTAATTTTTTATTTTGATTTATGCTGCATAAATATCCAATGCACATTTTATAAATAGTTCCTAGAAAGTCAAATTAAATAAAATTATTGAAATTATCATATTTTGCCGTAACTGGTTATTACTTTGTTATTGATGAATGGATTAACTTCATATTATAGCACAACATCTTTTTAGGAACAGACCAGAACAGATAGTTTATTCAGATTTGTACATAGTACATCATCTTGTATATACATATCAATAATTATATATGTCAACGTGAGATACAATAACAACAGAATTATTTTTGACAGTAATGGTAGTAATTTGAATACATATAAATCAAAACAATTAATCATGTATAAGGAGAAAGAACATGTAATAGAGTTATCTTTCTACAGTTAATACTGAATTTCTTAAAGCAAGAGCGTTTTTGATGAACAGTGATAATTGTATGAGCTCGGTTTTATCACAAGAATTCAAAAGTTTGATAAATTTATAAACAGATGGTCTTTTGACGTAAATATCCTTTTTGTATTTTTGTCTTAATTCTGAATAAAAGTTGCATATACATATAAAATGATATTCATCTTCTATATCTAAATTGTTACAACATAAACAATATCGTTCATTACGGGGAATAGGGTTTCTATTAAATCTTCCTGTTTGAATTCTAAGGGGAAGACCACTCATTCGTAATTTACAAAAATAAAATCTAAATCCTTTTGGTAAAATATCTAAATATTTCTCATATTCAAATGTACTCTTGACATTTTTATAAAAATATAAAAGGGAACTATTTTCTAAGTTAGCAAACCATTCTTGTTTAACAACATCCAAAATGCGAGTTTTAAACTCTGTCAAAAACATATTCTTATCTATGTAATTTATTTGATCAAAAACATATGAAAATCCATAAGCATTCAAAAAAAAAAATCACATTTGTGACCCAGTTTACACATCCACTATTGCTGTCATTTAATGCTATATTATACATTGTTTTTAATAAGATATTATCAGTCTCAACAATTTTCATCCAGTATTTTATCATTCTTATATATCTATTTACATACAATGGGTACCTTCCAAAATTCGCCATAAACATGTGCATAACATGTATTCTGTCTCACTTTTAATAATCTTTTGCAAAATTTTAAATGAATTCTTTCAATTGGTTTCGACTTAGAATATCCCCATGACTTCACATATAGAAACAACAAAAGCATCAAATAACTGACAAAATAACTTTGGACCTAGATCATATTCATTACATTTACAAAACAACACATTCATAGCCTTTTACGCCTTACCTATCAAAATTTTAATGTTCCTGATTCAATAAAAAGATACCAGTGTGGTTAAAAACTGTTCCCAAGTAATTAAAGTCATTTACCACATCATTTTTTTTTTACATTCATAATACCAATTCTCTTTGGTAAGAGCACACCCCTTTTACGAAAGACCATTATTTTTGTTTTTGTTGTATTTACTTTAAGACCCCAGTTATCACAATAATTTTTTTAAGTGTCTAAAAGTTTTTAAGTTTCCTCAGGTGTCTGACCTATGATGGCCATGTCGTCAGCAAACAACAAAGAATTAAAACTATATCCTCCAGTAATTTGATAGACCAGAGTCGACACTGTTTTGTAAAAACAATTCTAAATCTTCCATAAAAAGAGAAAATATCAGAGGAGACATTACCTCCTCTTGACGTAAGCCTACAGCATAATTAAAATAATCAGAATAAGGATAACACCTTCATGTCTTGACCTTGGCTGTTTTTTGACCTTGACCTTGAATGTTAATTTGTTGATTTTTTTTACTGATTTTTGCTATAATTGAGTGTAACTTGGTAATTAATAGATGGATTATCGTCATACTTTGACAAACAACATGTTGGACAAGTCCTTCTAAAAGATTGAACTGACTTTGACCTTGAACTTTAAATGACCTTGACAGAATTCATTTCAAATTATTTAATTTTCACTGATTATAGCTATAATTGGCAGTAACTTGATAATCAACAATTGATTATTTTCATACTTGGACAAAACAACCTTTTTGATAAGACATTCTGAAACGTTGTTGTAACCTTGACCTTTAAAGTATTGAATTTTGGTTAAGTGGTCATAATTTTGTTATTTACGATGCGGATTTGATTCATACGTGGACAAAACAACACTTGTATCCAAACAGACACGTGGAATACTTTAGATATGACCTTGACCTTTAAATGACCTTTACCGTCAAATGATCAAATAATTTTGTTATGTTTTTCTTTATTAACTTTGGCATTTTATGGAAAGGATTCATACTTGGACAAAACAACAAGTGTGACTAGACAGACCTACTAAAATTTTTAAAAAAAAGGAACTATTGTTTTTGTCTTTAATTTTCTTTTTAAAAATTGGTTTAAACTGTTTATTTGTTAACCAACCATAAATATAACCCTTTTGATTGTAATGCTTCAGGACGCTTCTGGACGCTATCTAGATATTTTCTTCCGGACGCTTTTTAGTGAGAGAGTCTTGAAGATTTTTCACGACGTGTAGAAAAAATGCGACCAGTACAAAACGCAAAACGAATTTAAGAAACACGGCGGGAATTGTTTAGTACTTAAACAATAATACATACTTTGTATTGCCAACAAAAGTTATGATACATTTGTGCAGCACATTCGATTTCTTAATTAAAACTGTAACTCGGGTTCTTACTGAGCGTTAACGTAAGCATATTTTGCATCGAAAATTTTCAGGATTTTCATCTGTTCATCCATATATCTTTTTTTTTCAGTTCTAAATAATTTTTTGTTGAACCAACACTGGGCCATAGTTATTTCTTATATTGATTTATTTCAACAATTCAGAAAATTTAACATTCAACAGGCTGGTAAAAATGCCTGATTAGTCTTGCACCTCTAATCATAGGAAATTATACTCAGTTCCTATGTTATCGCTGGTTCTATGATATCGTGGTATATACATTTTCTGCGACTGCGCGCAAAAGCGACACCTGCCGATGCTGCTATTTTTATAAATGTCACGCTAAACCGCATCGCATTCGCCGATAATTATAATTTTGAAAAAATGAATGCATTCCTGGTAAGAAAACTTTTTTATGCAAACCTTTACATTTAACTACCATTTCCATTCATTTTTTTACACAGTCAGTTGAAATAAGCCATATTCCCACTCACTTACATTTATAAACAAACCAAAACGAGGCTTGATGTTACTATAAATAGCCATTGCTAATATTGGAAAATGTATGGAAGGCCACTTTAGTCATAATTTTTGTCCCTAAAATATTATTAAAAAATCACACAGCAATTTTTTTTAATATACATTTATAATTATATTTGAATATGATACAATGAATAAAAATCATTTAACAATTTGCACAATACACAAACAAAAACATCATTCTGATAGTTTACAAATATTAATATCAAATATTATAAACAAGTTCAGTTCAACTTGATAGATCTACACATAAAATACTTCAAAAAATATATTCATCTTTAAATAAGATTTATATTCTTAACTTTTTGCATCCATCAATACAATATCTTTTCCTTGAGCATATCCTGGTGTACGTAGTTCCGACGCACCTAAGAAATTATCACCATTTACCGTAACAAAATAAGGTGACAACTAACAAATTACCTAAGCAGTGAAAAATTTATTCATTTCTTCATCTTTTACAACGTTTTTCATTAACTAAAAACTATCGTTAACACAAAAATAATCAAAATATGACAAGCATAGATTTCCAATATGGCGGATATGAGAGTACAGAGAAACGACGCATTTGATTGGTTTCTATATTTAATCTTACTAAAACGAAAGTACACTTCCTTTTCACTGCGAGAATGATGTACAGCAATTTTGTAAACAGCACGAAACATTTCAAGCACAAAAGTAAATAAATAAAAGATGACAATTATTTCAGTTAAGCAGGATTTCAGTTTTTTGAGAAGACTAAATTCAAAACATGCTTTACAATGATTACAGGTAGACCAAAACAACAAAGATAACATCCGTTTTATTGCCCTACCACTCACAATTGTGCTAAAATATTTTCTTTCATTAGTATGTGGCTTTTTACATGTCAGTGAGGTTTCTTTGTACAAGAAAAAAAGAAGCAGGAGAGACAGTTTCAGATATAACAGGAGCAGTGTCAGACTCAATGAGTGGCTCATTTTCAGACAGGAAAGAAGGTTTAAATCCTGGTTCTGGCTGGCTGCATCTTCTGATGAGATTTCTCTTGCTGTTAATCAGTGAAAGGGAGAAGTTAGACTGGTTTTCAAAGGCTTTCTGAAAATAGACTGCAAAATCTTGGATAACAGTACTTTATATTTAAATAGGCACTGAATTCAAGCTTACATATGTCATTATGTAATTTAGTGATTGACCTTCCACAGGACCAGGGTCTTTCAAATATAATTTCTATTTGAAAGACCCTGACCAGACAGGTCTCTCAAAATTTATGTCCGCACCTATTGAAATGTTTTTCAAAGGCCTGAAACAACCTATAGATGTCCATGGGCTGTAGAACATTGCATGTATGAGCAAGTGAATAAGTAAAATAATCATTTCTTGTCTTGCCCATTGAACAATATTGAAATTGATGTGATATCTATGCTTATGATCATAAAATATAACAACTGGGCAAGATTCAGACCTTTCTGGAAGAAATCAGATGTGATTGCAGATAGAGCTTAAATCATATGCTTCAATCACTCTCTGAAACAGTACCATCTGTCACAGGAGTACTACCATTCAGCAATGCTGAATTTATGCCAGTAGCAGATATACAATACAGCATATTGACAAGCAGTAATTATGTATCTCTGCATTAAAAAAAATAAATAGCTGTTGTCATTGAAGTTGGTGAATAATTACTGATCTTGACTTCAGGGATCTGTAAAAAATAACATAGATAATATTAATAATAAAGCAACAAAAAAGAACTTAATAGAATACAAACTTTAATATAAATGCATCCATAAAGTCACACAATAATGAGCTAACGAGTACACCTTCCTACACAGTGAATTATATATTTGGTGGTCACATACCATGTCATAATACTATCTCATGGCTTTCTAAAAATAGCGGCGAGTTAGGGTGTCGGCTGGTCCGACTGTCATTTTATCAATTTTGAGAAAACTATAATTTCAAAATTATACAAAATTAGTAATAAGAAAAAAACATCATTTTTAAGTGTTTTTATTAAAAAGTACGAAAAGATTACGTCAAAATCGCCAACTGTCCACATTTTCGCTGATAGAAATCACCGAAATGTTAACTTACAAAAAAGCGCGGGAATGACGTCACACGGAAACCCCAAAACGAAATCGAGGTCAAAACAAAAATGGCGTCGTAATTAAGATGCGTCGAAATAAAGTACTGGAGGATACAATATCTTTTGAGTATGATAACTTTTTTCATCATTTTAGGGTCCACCTTAAAAAAAAAAGAGACTACAATATGACAGGTCCAATTTGCAGAGAGCCTTCCAGGCTACAAGTAATGGAATGTCTGTTTACAGAGCTGCCAGAATGTATTCTGTGCCAGAAACCACTTTAAGGGATAGGAAAACAGGCAAAGTTGAGGTAGATTCAATTATTGGGTTTGAAACAATCTTCAATAAAGAAGAAGAAAATAAGTTGGTACAGCCTGTATCTTATATGGCTGAAATAGGCTATGGGTACAATAAACAAGGAATCCAACATATGGCAAAAGACTATGCAAAGTCACTTGGTAAATCTGTAAAGGCCAAAAACTCCCTAAGTAATTGTTGGTTTATGGGCTTCTGAAACGTTGGCCAAATTGAACTGTTGCCAAACCCCAGAAACTGTCCCTTGCAAGGGCTCAATCAGCATCTAGAGAAGCGCTTGACAAGTATTTTAGAGAGCTTTCAGCCATCATAGAAAAACATAAATTTGATGAGCATCCTGAAAGAATTTTTAACATTGATGAAACGGGCATAAATGCGAACATGCTCCGCCTAAGATTGTTTTCAGTAAAGGGACAAAACCACAAGCTATAACATCCACTAGATCTTCTACGATAACCATAATTGCTGGGGGGAATGCATTGGGGAATTTTATCCCACCTTATTACATCTTCCCTGGAAAAAGGTGGAATCCAGATTTTTTAGAGGGGTGTCTTCCTGGGTCAGCAGGAGAAATGTCTGACTCTGGGTGGTCAAACACCCAGATATTTCAGAATTACGTCACTACACATTTCATGAAGTATTCCGGTGTAAGTCTAGGCATAGATCAGCCATCAACTCTGATATTATACGATGGTCATAGGTCCCATATAAATCTGACACTCACTGACTGGGCCAAACAGAACAATGTCATTTTATATGTGCTTCCTCCCCATACCAGCCATCTGACACAGCCATTGGATGTATCTGTATTTGGGCCTTTGAAAGCTATGTATAATAAAGAATGCCAGGTTTATCTTCAGCAATATCCAGGTATTAACATCACCAAATACCAGGTTGCTCAACTAACCAGGAAACCTTACATCAGAGCATTATCGTCTGAAAAACTGATAACAGGATTTAGAAAAACTGGAATATACCCTCTGAACAGTAACGTTATTGAGGATAGCCAGGTTGCTCCAGCTATCATTTATGACAAAAATGATACAGAGAACCAAAATGACTCTGATAAAAATATTGCAGAAAACTCTTCCTCTAACAATAATGTAGTAGACAAAGCTGCTCCTTCAAACTCTGTCAACAACCAAACTGCTTCTTCCAACCTTGTAAACAAGCAAGCTGCACCTGCCAACTCTGTAAACAAATCTCCAAACAGCTTTTTTGATGATAAAACTATAAAGTCAGTTGTTCTGAAAAAGAAAAAAAGATTTGTACCACCATACTTAGCAGGAAACCTTCTAAATAAACAAAACCAAAACTTGATAAATTCAAATTCAATACACGTACAGAAAGAAAGAAATAAACAATCCAATAAAGTCATGAATATTAAAAAAGAAAAAAGTGTAAATCAATTAGCACAGTTGTAAAACCAAGTACATCTGGAATTCAATCTTCAAAGAAAGGTGGTCCATTACTCCTTGGTGAGGATGATGATTGTCTCAGTTCATCTGATGATATCTGTGATGAAGATCTGTGCTGTGTGTGTGGTGAATGGCAACCGAAGGAGTTAAGGGGTGCACTCAGTGTTGTAATAACCAAATGGGCACAGTGTGATGTCTGCAACCATTGGACTCACCTAATTTATTGCTCACCTGTCCATGTTGTCCGTCTCAATGATGGATTCAAGTGTCCACACTGTGAAAATAACTAATGTGTATCCATTAAAAATCATGTAAATAAGTAAAATGATTGTTAAAAAGGTTTGCAAACAGTTAATTAACATTTAAAAGTTTGAATTTTATACCTATATTACTGTTGACAGTTTTTCACAAACTTATTTGAAGATTTCGGCAGATTTAGCCTTCCATATTTACATTTTAAGGATTACCACGATATCGTAGTAACCTCCCCTGAAATGAGCCAAAATGGCGACAATGTAAATAGTTAAAAAAAATACAATTTAATTGGAACTTTTGACATATTTTTTTCACAAACAGTTTTGTAAAAGGATGACTTATTAAAAGGAAGAGGAATTTCATTCAGGTATGATTTTTATTTTTTACTTTTTGCCGATAAACGTTAAGTACCGCGATATCATAGAACCCCGGGCTAAATTATTCAACTGATGAAATTAAAGTAATCAAACGGTACATAGAAATCACTAATCATGATTTTTGTGTCGCCTTGAAAAGGTGACATATAGGGGTTACTTTTGGCGTCGGCGGCGTCTGTGTCGGCGTCGTCGTCGGCGTCCCCTAAAGCTTGTCCGGAGCATAACTCAGTCACTATAAGTCTGATTGACTTCAAACTTGGTATGCATGCTTCTTTCAATAACCCGAAGTGCAGTGCACAAGGACTGGTACTCTGCAGTTCTTATTTTTTTAGTTATTGCCCTTTGTTAATTTTCATACTTTAATTTTGTCCGGGCCATTTCTCTAAAACTAAAAAAGCTATGGACTTGAAACTTCATAGGATGATAGATCTCATTAAGAAGAAGTGCAGTGCACAAGAACCGGTACTCTGCACTTCCTAATTTTTGAGTTATTGCCCTTTGTTAATTTTCATACTTTATTTTTGTCCGGGCCATTTCTCCTAATGTATAAAAGCCATGGACTTGAAACTTCATAGGATGATAGGTCTCATTAAGAAGAAGTGCAGTGCACAAGAACAGGTACTCTGCATTTCTTATTTTTTGAGTTATTGCCCTTTGTTTATTTTCATACTTTAATTTTGTCTAGGCCATTTCTCCTTAAGTATAAAAGCTATGGACTTGAAACTTCATAGGATGATAGATCTCATTAAGAAGAAGTGCAGTGCACAAGAATCGGTACTCTGCATTTCTTAATTTTTGAGTTATGGCCCTTTGTTGATTTTCATACTTATTTTTTGTCCAGGCCATTTCTCCGAAAGTATAAAAGTTATGGACTTGAAACTTCATAGGATGATAGATCTCATTAAGAAAAAGTGCAGTGCATAAGAACTGATACTCTGCATTTCTTATTTTTTGAGTTATTGCCCTTTGTTGATTTTCTTACTTTATTTTTGTCCAGGTCATTTCTCCTCAAGTATGAAAGCTATGGCCTTGAAACATCATAGAATGATAGATCTTATTGATAAGAAATGCAGTGCACAGATATGCTGCTCTGCACTTATTATTTTTTTAGTTATTGCCCTTTGTTATTTTTCATATTTCATTTTTGTCCTGGCCATTTCTCCTAAACTACATTGTTCACAAGGCGACACATCCGACTCGCGGAGTTCTAGTTTGGATTATAAACTACCAAATTTGCATGCGTCAAACTGAATGCACATATTTTGAAACTGTGCATCTTTTTCAATTTTTATGCGTATTTTACGCAGGACGCACATCTAAATTAATCACTGAGAAGTATAGATGTACCTCTGGAGCTCTGAAAAAAAGTGTGTTTCAGCCACGGATTTACATTACAGGGATCGGACACTCCCAGTTAACCCTAATTAAATGCTTAAATTACTTTTTCGTGCACCCGATAAAGGTACATCGATCGATAATTTACCGGCGCTAAGCGTAAATGCCCGTTCGCAACGGATACCTACTTTACAAAATACCATAAAGCTTTTCCATATATTATCCGATTTTGGAAATTAAAAGTTTATTTTGATGAATAATACTTGTTTAATTCAAATATCTAATTTATTTCTTTAAAGTATAAATTATCTGTCCGCAATGACGATTAAAAAATTAACTTGACGAAATCCGCGGTAAATTTACATTTTTTATATAAAAAGCAGGTATTTTAAAATTATTATTATGGTAACATAATAAATTCAATTTCAAAATAAAAAAGAAGCCGATGTAAGATATTCACAGATGATCAAAGATGCAATATTTAAGATTTATTGGGTTATATAGTCAAATTTATTAATGCACAATTGTTTTACGGGTAATGTATTGCAGGCTTTACAATTCGCTTAACACATGAAGAAAATTTATTAATTTTTTAGCACAAAATATTGCCGAGATTTTAATATTGCCATATTCATAGAATATTTAAATTTCATTCATCATAATTTATATCATTATTATTTTTTGTAAATCTGTTGCAGTGAAGTAAACAATCATCGTAACAGTTTTATAAGTACTCTCGTGTGGCTGTCTCGATTCCGGCCTTTTTAATGTCACTTGTATATTTTAATTATTCTTTTTATTTGAATGCCTGTAGAAAGATATTACTGATATTTTTTTAATGTATCGCTAGAAAAACAAAAAAGAAATCTTTACAGTTTGAGTCAGTATTATGCGAAATAAAAGTAACCTTTGATTTTTTTTACACATCACTTAAATTTCTTTGAAGTTTAATTACTTTTGAAGGGGTTAATTACCAGGTAACAAGTGATAATTGAAAAACTTTATTTTCAAACTTTGATTACCAGGTTACATGTGATAATTGCAACTCTCAATCTTCAAAAACAAATAGAATTTGAATGTATATTTTGTATGTGCGCGGTCTTTAACTACAATCCATGGTATGGGTGATAAGAAAATGATTCTAAAGAGGATATACATGTATATTATATAAATACAATGTAAATCTATTTTCTTTATACAACTTAATTTGTATAGCCCTTTCCTTGAAAAATAATGAAAATAAACATATGACGAATATATCATTTGACGTGAA